GGCCCACTCCCCGCCAAGGCTTATCGTGCTGTCCTGAAGGTACTGCTCCCAGATCCTGGCTGTCAGCCCCTGGCCAGCATCACAGGGCAAGTCTGGAGACACGATCATGTGATTGACCAGGGCTGACAGGTGGGTCCTCACAGTGGACAGGTGTCTGCAGTAGACGAGCCCTATTGCAGAGGGAAGGGACGAGTCACCCTCTGCCATTTGGTGCCCCGCTGGCTCATGGAGTCTTCAAGGTGGTGTCTCTTTCCCCAGCTAATTGAACCTCCATGTCCTGCAAATTCTCATCACTCCCTTTCCCAGAAAAGGAAAATGAATCCCAGAGGGGTGATGTCACTTGGTGGGTTGAGTGCTCAGCCCTAGGGAAGTTCTGTCGCCTTTCTCAGCCTCAGTCAGGGTGATGCTAGCCTACTGGGTTGGAATCCAATGCATTTAACTGACAGGCTGCAGGCAGGGAAGGATCAGGAAGGAAGAGGGCCAGGGACCCCTCGCGCTCACTGTGCCTCTGTCTCCAATCCTTATAGATAGAGAGAATGACAGACTCCTGCTCAGACTATGGCTGGACAAAGAAAGTCCCAGCAAGTCAGTGACCTGGAGATGCTGAGGGCACCCAGTCTGCTTTCCAGGATGGACCTGTCACCTTAAAGGTATGTTTGCCACCCCTCGTCTGCTGTAACCTGGGCCCCCGAGGGTGCCTGAAATCCAAGAAGTTCCTGGCAAATGCCAGCTCATGCCCTTCTTGTTCTTTTTTTTTTGGTGCTGGGGATTGAACCCAGGGCCCTGTGCATGCAAGGCAAGCACTCTACCAACTGAGCACTAGCCCCAGCCCCTAGCTCATGCCTTTTGCTGACGGCGTCCCTTCTTCCTGGCTCTGTCCAGCAGCTCATCACCAATTCCCAGAGAGAAACTGACCTTCTAGAGCCTGAGGATTCACCCCCACCAACAGCAGGAAGGTACAATGATAGTGGTGGCCACAGAATGTCCAACACTCACACAGCATATGACGCTACACAGCACGGACATCCAGGGGCCGTTCCCTGAGTTTCCAAAACTATTTCTCACCACGACCCCAGGAAGCAGGTATTGGCACCTTCCTCATTTTATAGATGGGCAAACTGAGGCACACACTGGTTACATCATTAACCCATCTCTCCAAGAAGTTCAGGTTTGGGATTTGTCCCAGGCCTTCTCATTTGAATCTGGGCTCTCAACAGGCATCAAGAATGCGCCATATTGTCATATGATCACCTCGTTTCAGACTCATCTCAACCCTGCCCTTCCTCCAGGAAGATTCTGCACTTGGGTCTAATAAACACCTGCACAGCGCCCACTACACGCCATGCTCTGCCTCAGGCACTGGGGATGGTGGTCACAGGACAGGCAAGAACCTCAGCCCAGGGGACCTTCCACTCCCTGTCCCCTGGACACTTGGAGATGATGAGCACCCAGGCAGACATCCAGGTTTCTGTGGCCAAATACATTTGAGGGATGTTGCTCTTACTCTCCCACGGCCTCAATTTCTTGAGTGTGATAGTGATAGTCCCAAAGAATACAGAAAATTGTTTTAACTTCAACATTTCCCAAACTAGTTGACAAGGAAACTGTTTTCCAACATCAACATGCAGGCCCATGCAGGGTATAA